TCAACGCGCTGCTGCGTGGCGGGTATGTGACGGGGCGTTGCACGCGACAGTTGCAAACACCGTACGGTTACAATCGGCACGCACTGGCGATGGTTATGTTATCGTGACAGTGACATTCTGCTGCTATTTTTTTCAACAGGTCAATCCGTCTTACCCCAACGGGAACGATAGTAAGCGCAGTCTCTGAGAGTATGCTGAACAGAAAGCATTGTGACAGTCAAAATGATTAGGGAACAGCAGGCAAGCTAAATTAGCTCCCGAGATAAATTAACTCCCGAATAATTCTCTGCACCATAAATCGTTAGACCGTCGGACTGCTATGCTCATCACTAGTTATGCAAATAAAACGAAATTCGACGGTCATGACGATCCAGGCTCTTCCAGAGTGAACAAGGGGCTGAGGACTGAGGCGAGCAACAATCCAAACCGATAACGCAATGAGTTTACCAGTGTACGCTCCATCGTAAGCACGCAGTGTTCACAGATTGTCGCGTATGCTACGTCGCGTGACCGTCCCGCCTGTCCTCTTTGAAAGCGCACGTTCTAATAATCAAGTGAAATTAGTGCTGTTTTGGGGGGAAATCATTGTTCGAAAGGGGGCCCTCGCTCATACACTGCGAACGCAGAGAATCAGTGATTACGCCACAGTGCGCGAATCGGGAGAATATACAATTATAGCTTCGCTCAGTATCGAATCCCGCGTTTTCCTACCGCGGATCTTCAACCTGCGCAAGGTATGAGGGCATCGAATCCATTTTACCTTGCAAGCCTGCTAGCTTGCCATAGCAGCCCGCAGAAACATCTCATCAGATCGTTATGAATTTCCACCTTCATGCGTGCGTTTTCAGGGGGCAGATCAGCCTCATACTTCGTTAGTGGTCACTCCACTGCCTCCTCGGACAAGAATTCGTCAATGTCGCTTTTGTGAGTGCTGCCTGGAACTGAATGATCTGCTGGAGCATTTGCGTACATCTCATGGCGAAGAAGGCCGTATAGAAGCGGAAAAAATGGCACTCGCGAAGAGAAGGAAAGTTCAGCATGGTGTGAAACAGTGTGGAGATCTTGCGCCCAGTGAGAAGGACGAAAAAGGAAATCGTCTTATGAAATGCCCACTCTGTGAAGGAATCCCGTACTCAGGAGGATCTTGTCGATCATTGCCGCATTGTTCACAGAGACAAACACTGTGTTACACGAACGCGTACATTTCAAAATGAAAAGCAGTGCGAGGTGAGTCAGCTCTTATGCGTACGGGTGGCCTTTTTTTCGGAATTTCTCTCCGAGTTATTTTCATATAAGCATTAGTCCTGCGAATGACAGGGCGCGTGAAAGCGGGTGAACTGGATCGTAACGAAAACAGCCTTCCTGTCGACTGCTGCGGACTCAGAATGGCATCGTTGATGGAAAGGCCGCATCGGCAGCGCCCCAATCCACGCCCCGTTATACGCTCTATCGTTTGCAGGAATCATGATTGTATGCAACTACGGGACACGGTAAAGAGGATCGTAATTCGCCGCACCGCCACGCGCGGCGTTTTCGTAACTCGTTTTAACCTGTCGAATGGAGCACCGGACTTCATGTAGACCCCGTCATCGTAGACACTCATTACTGTTTTCGGTCCTTAATTGCATGTTGTCGCCATCTACTGCCTGAAACCATCGTCCTTTGCGGGCGAGACGTCGCACGCGACGCCCAGCAGCGCGGCAAATTACGATCCTCTTGTCACATACCCTTTAGCTACAGTGTCGCTTATGAAATATTGAAATGCGACTTTGACTGTTGTGACGAACAGTCTCGACCATGACCGATTAACCCTTTAGCCTGCGTTCATACTTTGCCTCAGCGTGCACCATCGTTTCGAGCGTAAGCCTGCGTCAGCGACTAGGAAGTGTAGATATCGATCCACTAAATGCTACCGGCGTTCACTACCGGAAGTTTTGCTCATGTTTTCTGGCGGATATTCGTATCTTATTAGTTGCTGGTGGTTATTCGTGGATTATGAGGCAAAGTATGAGCACGCCTTGCGTTTTTTTATGAGTCCCATTTTGTGTGGAACTTTTGCATTTCTCGATGGGTGCTCTGAATACATTTGGCCAGCAATAACTTCAGGCGTGGAAAAATTCGATCGCGAGGACGCATTGTACTGCTTGGCAAATCGATGGCAGACTACACTTGGTTAAGGATATGCGCATCGCTTACTATCACTGTAGCAGGTGTCACACATCTTTATTTATTTTTTCTTTTTATTTACTACCAGTCGGATCGCCCAATTGTCGCCATTTTTTCCTTTCATTTACTACCAGTCGGATCTCCCAGTTGTTGCCGGGCGCTCCTCCCAATGACACGCTTCGCCGAGCCGGCCTGACTTTGCCAGGCGCTCTTTACCTCAAGCGAGTTAGAGTGGGTAGAATGCCTCAAACGGTTACAGAGCATTTTTTTGAAGAAAATATAGAAGAATAAGTTGTAAAGAGCAATCGAAGAACAATTAATCAACACTTATGCACATATGGTCCCCTCCACTACTCGACTTTTTTTTCCTTCTTCTTCTTTAGCGTTTGTCCCGCTCGGCAGGGTCCGCTTTCATGACGCCACTTTTCCCGACAAATGCCTGATCGGGGTGAATTCCAGCTATTTTCAAGTCTGTATGCAACGTATCGAGCCAGCGCTGTCTGGGACGTCCCCTAGGTCGCTTTCCGGGCACCTCAAGCTGAAGGCCAGTCCTACAGACGGTGTCAGCCTTTGCGCGAAGTACATGGCCGTACCATCGAAGGCGCGTTTCTCGCATTTTGTCAGCTATAGGAGCTATGCCGAACTTCTTGCGTATTACCTCGTTACAAATGCGGTCCAAACGCGTGACACCCGCAGTCCAACGCAACATTCTCGTCTCCATCACACTTAGACGGGCTTCGACTTCTTTGGTAGCGGGCCAGCACTCGGCGCCATATAGGGCGACTGGTCGAACGACACTTCTGTAGATCTTCGACTTTAGCCGCTCTGGCATCTTCCTGTCGCAGAGGATCCCAGACATGCATCGCCATTTTGCCCACGCTGCACTCACCCGTGCGCTCACCTCCGCTTTGAGATCTCCATCGGACGTAATTGCTGATCCCAGATACTTGAATGTTTTTGTACGCGTGAGCTCAGTGCCATCGATTTTGATGGAGCCCGTCTCGGCTGGGTCGGTTGTCAGGTACTCGGTCTTATTCACGTTTAACCTGAGCCCAAACTTTGCCAGGCGATCAGCCCAAGCTTGCACTTGTTGCTCTAGCGTGGTCTTGTCTTCGCATGCAAGCATCACATCATCAGCATAAAGGAGCGTCCAAGGAACTTCCTTCTGAAGGTCTCGTGTGATGGCATCCATGACGACAACAAAAAGGAGTGGGGAGAGAGCGGAGCCTTGGTGTACCCCTACGGTGATGGGGAACTCCATCGAGGTGCCTGCAAGAGTCCGCACTTGACTCTCTGGCTTTGAATAAAGGATGCGGTACCCACTCAACAAGCTCTTCGGAGACACCGTGTTGTCGCAAAGCGTACCTTATAACATTCACGCGGCACGCGATCAAGTGCCTTTTCCACCACACTGGTTGGCAAAGAGCTGGACAATGTCACGAATACGGCCATCAACAATTCGCTCAAAGATAGTGTGCGAGAGAAAGCGAATCGGACGGTAGTTCGAGCAATCTGCTGGACTGCCCTTCTTCTTGCGAATCCGAATCGCTGCTTCCACGTCTGAAACACCAAGAACTTTCACACCCTGTACAAGAAGACGAGACTGAGTCAAATAAGGACCAACTGCCGATGCAAGATGCCGATCTGCCTGCTCCAACCGATCGACAGAAACGGTCAAGACGTCCGCCAGTTCGATTGCAAATCAATCCGAAGAAGAAGACATACACATCTAATGTTTGTCTTAGGAGGGAGGTGTTGTGAGGGTGATACTAGATCACTGGTATCCCTGATCAACATCCTATACTGGCCGTATATAAGACCAGTCATTGAGTATGGTTCATTCTATTATTGCTCATCGCCTTCGGAATAAACCCATTCATCCTCGTCGTACGCGTCCTGCACATTCCAAGGATTACAACAGTACAACAGAAACAAAAAACAAAGGAAACGAAAAGAAACTCCCCTATTAAATGAAGTTGCCCTTATCCCGACCTCAAAAAAAGGTGAAACCCCCTTCCTCATATTCCAGATCCTCTTAAGTAGAGAAAGTTTCTAGTTAGTAGGGGTGTCGGTCGGATGGCGTGGCTGGCAGCTGTCCTACCGTAACTGGGACGCTGCTGGACGCTAATTGACACCTCCCTGAGCCTGTTCAGCCGCTCCCTCGGACCGGAGAACTCGTCCACAAGCCACGCACCATACTGATTCGTATAATTGATCGACCTACAATGGTGAGACGTCTCCGTAAACGCCGAATTGCGTACTGATCGCTCAACTACGCATTCTC